TCAGGAAGCGAGGCCCAATTGACAGGCTGCAAAAGGCAATTGAAAACAGTTAGTACAAAGACCATGTCCTATGTTCGCTTGCTTCTTGGCTGTTGACCTAGCGAGTGACTTTTATTATGGGTAATGGCTCCTGACAATTCAACAGGAATAGGTGGACACTACTATAAACAGATTGTAGCCTTTGAATACTTTTTGCTGTTAGCATTGAATCATTGTTGGTGAACCTACCAAGCATCTAAGTTTGACTCGTTTCCGGTGAAAATCGATTTAGTAATTATCGTTTGCAACGCAATCTATCTCAATTTAAAGGTTTTCTCAAGTGGAGTCGCATGCAGCAGGTAAATACGTGAATTGCATAGTGTTCGAAAACACCCAAAAATATTTTTGCATCAACCGATTAATAATTTGAGAAATTAGAGTGGTTCACCTTTAGGTTACCCTGCACTGAGTCCTTAAGAGTCAATATAAGCTATTAACTATGCCTGATAAAGGGCTAGTAGTTTTTGATTAATAGCAATTACGGCCTGATAATTTACAGACCGAGAGTGGTATGCGCTCATAAGTAGCGAGTAGCAATGATAAGTCAATTAATAATGATACGTTGTGAGTAATTTTTCGTAACTACTGACTTATAACTCACATTACTCCATTGAGCTGGAGTATCGTCTTCATCAGCCGGGATACGCAATAGACACATAGTTATCTTCAAAGTTGGCTCCATCAAGGTGATAACATCCGCCGTGCTCTTCGTTGGTTCGTAGTTTACCAGAGTGCAGTCAAGGAGGCGATCGCCAGACTTGAAAGACACACCAGATACAACAGCACTTCCAGAGACAACAGAACGTTTGAAACGAACTTGTCCTTCGTGTCTACTCATTGATACAGCCAGGAGGCAGTTTTGGCTTTAAAGAACAACATTTGAAAAGGTGAAGACAATGTCCCAGAAGGCTGGGAAAGGCGGAAGGATTGATTGAGAAATAGCAACGATCGGGTATGTAGCCGCACTCAGAAAAGGGAATGCAAGAACTCTCATCACAGAGGCATTCTGGACTTTTATGGGTGGGGTTAACACAACTGAGGAACAGCTGCCAAAATTGACACTTATGCCCTTAGCTTCTTTAAATGCTACAATAAAGCTTAAAAACAAAAGCAGGCAATTTGAACTACTGGGAATTAGGAGTTTCGTACGGTAAAAAAACCGAAGACCTTGGACAATGACTAAATATTCCAGAGGAACTGATCTCAGCCCGCCATGAACAATCGTATTGAAGGCGAAAGTAGGAAGAAAATATCGTCAAATTTTAGCTTTTTGACTTCCTCAGAAATAAATTTGAAACTTGGAGTACATCAGTATATGCAAGAGGTCTACAGACGCAGACCGAAATTTGATATCCATCAGCCACAGCGGAATACCCACATAATATTCACAAGTTGTCAACAGGCAGTCAGTAGTACAACTTATGCAATTACTTACCATACTGGCAGCAAATGTACTAGTTAAACGTCTAGCTGGTGCCTATGATACTAGTATGGCAAATAATTACATAACATGCAGTGAATCTAACTCTCGTGACAGCTGCGCCTAAAGCTGACAACAGTAAT